CCCATGTCAGGATCCATCTCTAGGGTTTCTTTTGGGTGGCGGCTGGTGGAGTGACTAGGAAAGGGTGGGGGTGGGGAGGGGGTTATATTGACAGATGGGGTTGGGTTTTAGTAGGACTAGGATTGCATTTGATCAAAGACTAGTGGGCCACTAAGCCCAATTAACCACACAAATAATATATGTAGGCTAACACATAACATAGAAGATCAATTAGAACACTTAATAGCATAGAAGATCCATTTCCACTACTTAGTAGCATAGGAGATCCATTATAACACTTAATAGTATAGGAGATCCATTACAACTTACTTAAGAACATAGGAAAAAAGGTTCTTACATAAGAAACTAAAGTTCAAATGCATGGCCAAACACTAGGTTAACTTCACATTCCCCCAAAATATACACCCATATAATCACTTCAGACTGTTAGGCCACATCCTTATATATAGGCCTTGGATGTACTTACTTCACCAACATATCACAGCAACTTCATGACTCAAGGATGGCCTTGATTTGCTCTAACTTCTCCTTGCTGCCATACCCATCTTTCAGCAGCTCATCAACAACTTGCTCAAGCTTTGCCTTCTTCTTCTTAAGAACATCTCTGTCAACTTCAACATCCTTCATAGACTTCCTGGTGTTCTTGATGATATCAACTTGACTCTGAAATGCACCTCTGCTCATTTGCAAGTTTAAGCTTTTCCATCTGCACCTCCAACCTAGCTTTCTCCTCTACCTCGTCCTCCTTCTTCTTCTTCTTCTCAAGTTCTTCCTTCTCCACTTGTTTCTGGTTCACCTTCCCCACCCTACCATCCTGCCAATCAAACATCTTGGATACATCATCAACAAGCTTGGTGTACTCAATGCAAAGCTTGTCATTTTCAATCTTAAGCTTGGCCAACTCCCTTTCATGTTCACTCTTAACCTTGGCCAACTCCTTCTCAAACTTCTCCTTGTCAAGTACCCTTCCTAGGTTTTGCTCATGGAACATTTCCCATAGCTTACACAAACATCTCTGAAGAACAGGAGGCCAAGGCCCATCAACCCACTCTACAACACCACAATTCACACCATTTTCCTGCATTTGTAAATGTGATAAGTTAGTACAAGTGGACTAGTACCTTATTTCAATGCCATGATTAACTTGATATTTTCTAACAATGAATAACATAAATGAGATATGATAAGTTATTACAATGCCATGATTAAGTTTCCAAAGTAACAAAAATACATAAGTGACTGTCATATCAAACAAACTGTTGCATCATATCAAACATACGTGAACATCCATAGCAGAAAACTTAATTGGCATCTAACCTGGACTGGGCAGCCATAGAAACGCCTTCTTGTTACAATGCCTTCAAATGCAACACGCTTAATAGGCCTCATTCGGTGCAGAATGCACTTGGGTTGAGCAAGCTCAAGTTGGCCACAGAAAAGGGGCTCGACAATGGTGTCTGGTTCCTCCTGCAACCAAAATAACCAAAAGAACACTGGTTTCAATCTGCACTCAATACCACAATCAACTTTCACTGTTCATTAACCCTGAACACTCAAAAATTCCCAAATCAGCATGAACCCTAACACTGTACAAGCATGTACCCTAGGTTAGCTCAATCCTACAATCAAACCCCACCCTAACTAATCAAGAACAATATTACAGAGACAACAACAACAACAACAACAACAACAACAACAACAACAACAACAACAACAACAACACTACACTCAGTAAGATCCATGGCTGTAGCCTAGGCCTATCAGCACCTAACCCTAACCCTAACCCTAGGTGGCAAAGAAAAACTTACCATAAGTCCCATGTCCATGCTGACGACCTCACACTCCTTCTCGGAGCTCGTTTCCTCGTTTTTCCAGGAAGGCATGGTGGCAAGGAGGTCGACAGCGACCGACCTTGAAGACGGCGAGCGGCGGCGAGCTCGTATTGGAGTAGGGGAGTGAGCGAGCAGGGTGCGCCCGACCGACGGAGGAGTATTTACCCTGGTTCCGACCGGACCGGTCGGGCTAACGGCCGTCAACGGCTGCGCCGTGAGCGCGCGTGGCCAGGTGGCCTGACTGGTGGGGCCAACACGTCAGAAAAACGGTTAAAACGCTAGTCTCTGGTGTTTTGTGTTTTCTAAAACAGCCGACCGCTCGTTTGATAGTTTTCTGAGAAAATTAAAAAGTGATAGTGTTTTGGAACCCTAACCTGTAAACCAGTAGTTTTATGCTATTTACTCCTTGTTTCAAGACATGTTAAAAAATGTTAAAGAGTTTCATAGAATTTCTCCGAGTTAGCACTTTCCCTGCTTCTTCAATTAAAAAGAGCTACGTAGCACTTTCCCTGCCTTCTTCAATTGAAAAAAAAGCTAGCATTTCCCTATAATTTTTTGCAATACATTTCTAATAACAATTGAAACAAAAGAAGTGCAAATTCCAAATTTCGCGATGATGCCGGGGAAGAAACAAAGCTTCCTCGGTCGTCCAAGTTTGCCAAACCGAGGTCCATGCCTCCATGGAACGGTAGTACGGGGGAGAGGGGAAAATAAAGCCGGGCATAGAAGGGCATGGGGGACCCGGCAGAGCCGCTTTTACTTTTGGCTGCCATCTTCTGGGCCGCCAACGCAGGGAAGGAAGAAAACATAGGGTGCCGTGTGCGACCGCAGCGGCTGGCCTGGCCTTGCCTTGCCTGGCTACCCCCTCAGCCTCAGAGCAGAGCGCCTTTCGGTTTACCCTCGCCCCCTGCCCAAGTTAAAAACAGCAATTAGAGAGAGACAGGCCAAGGACTGCGAGACAGACCCAGCCCCTCTCTGCGTGTGTGAGAGAGAGACAGAGAGAGGTAGAGGAGTAGCACGCTGGGCGAAGCTACCAGCCCGCCCGCCCGCAGTCCCTCTCTCTCTCCCCACGGGGAGAAAAAACCCAAGAAGCGATCAAAAAGAGCCTCGGCCGGGTATAGCTTGCTAGAAGGCGCGCCCTACCACCCCCTAGCCTAGCCCCCCGAGCTCCGAGCTCCACCACAAGGGTTTTTACGACGCCCGCCTTTGCCCGCCTTACGGGTAAGGGAGGGGGAGGAGGGGGGAAAATGGTGGGCTCGGGCGCGGCAGGAGGGGGAGGCGGAGGGGATCATGCGCGGAGCAAAGAGGCCGCGGGGATGATGGCGCTGCACGAGGCGCTCCGCAACGTCTGCCTCAACTCGGACTGGACTTACTCCGTCTTCTGGACCATCCGCCCTCGCCCGTATGTGCCTCCCTTCCCCCCACCTCCCTCGCTCGCCGCTCCTGCTTGTTATTATTGTTAGCCTCCCCGCCGCCGTCAGTCCATCATGCAGCGCAGCGGCTGGCCATTGATTTGATTGATTGACGCCTAATCCTGTGTGTTGATTGATTCCTCCTGCTGCCAGGCGGTGCCGCGGCGGCAACGGGTGCAAGGTCGGCGACGACAACGGCAGCCTGTGAGTGCACTCTCTTCTTACTGCTGTTAGACTTGTTGATTGGTACAGCATATGTGTGAGGACCGATCGGGCCGGCGTTGATGTTGTGGTGCGCGCGCGTGTGTATGCAGGATGCTGATGTGGGAGGACGGGTTCTGCCGGCCGCGGATGGCGGAGTGCCTGGAGGAGATGGAGGGCGAGGACCCGGTGCGCAAGGCCTTCAGCAAGATGTCCATCCAGCTCTACAACTACGGAGAAGGGTGGGTACTGGGTAGGTGCAGTCGTGTGCAGTTTTCCCCCACGGTCCGGCCCGGTCGTCGCTCGCAGCCTCTACCCACACCTAGCAGTCCCCTCCCCTAGCCACCATTCATATCCATACCACCACCTCCAATTAAGCCCCGCGTGTTTTCGTGCAAGTTCCCGTCACGTCCCCTGTTCTCCGATTAGGACCCGCTCGAGGCTGTGCGCCATTGATGCCCCACAGTGCCTCCGCCAGCGACGACGCGCGCAAGTCCAACCCCCAGCCCGAGCGAGGAGGGTGGTGAGAGACAAAGAAGGGCAGGAGGAGGAAAGGGGGAGGAGGGGATGGGATGGGTGCGTGCGCTTTCATCTTTTCACTTTGTTCTGTATCTACCCCGCCCAGGGCCAGCTTTTGGGGCTTGTTAATTCGCGCGGCACTGACACGGCGGTACCATCACGCCTAATTAATCTCTGGGCTCTGGGTTTGTGGTTGGGTTTGGTCTGACCGCGCGTGGGAGGAGACTGTGATTATGCCGGGACGGGAGCGGGAGGGTGGGTAAAACGGGCGCGTAGGATTGAATAACGGGTGTTCCCCATTCAAGCCAGTCAGTCGTGCGTGTCTTTTGGGCGAGGCGAGGACCAAGGACGGGCGCCGTCACGTGCGGCACGTGAGCTGGAGTGGGGCGGTGCCTCGTTCCGCATAAACAAACCCCCGCGCGTCAGTGGGTTAATTGCGAGGTTCATCTCCGATTAACAACGCCCTCACGCTACACGCACACGCAAACCCTACACAACACAGTAGTGTGAGTTTGGGACTTGTGGAAGTTGCTACTAGTAGTAAAAACATAGGTTTCAAAAGCATGACAGAACTTTGATTCTCTCCTCAGCCATTGAAGTGTTTCACTAATTAAGCAGTGTGAATTTGTGCTCTTTTTCACTGATTCAATGAAGTAGTTAAAATGCTTGTAGAGAATGATAGACTGGGGAGAGGAGAGAGTTCTCCGGGGGTTGTGTTCGTGTGTGTGTGTGCGCGCGTTATTGGTGGTCTCTCTCACTTTTGTTCTACTGAGCTTTTGAGCATGATTTGCCAAGTCGGTTTTGATTTGATTTGGACGCCGTTGGGTTGCAGGCTGATGGGAAAGGTGGCGTCTGATAAGTGTCACAAATGGGTCTTCAAGGAACCTTCTGAATGCGAGCCCAACATCGCCAACTACTGGCAGAGCTCTTTTGATGCCGTATGTACCATCATCAACCCTGCCCCCACCCCACCCCCTTCCCTTCTTTCTCTTTCTTTCCTGCTTAGCAGTACACCACATTACTGCTCACGCAGTGGTAGGTTTCCTTCAAGTTTTTACTCACTCCATGGAGAAAAAAATATAAAGAGATCGATGGAGAGACATCTCAAGCTTTGAATCAAATCAAATCTGCTCCACCAAAGAACAAAAATCTGCTCCCAAAAAGAAGAGAAGAATTGGATGCTAGGCTATCAGCAAGAACAAACGCCGCGATCGCAGTCACGGCCAGCCTTTATTCCACTGCACTTACTCAAATCCCTCTCGGCCTTTCCTTTTGCAGCTTCCTACGGAATGGACTGACCAGTTCGCCTCAGGCATCCAGGCAATGCCCCACCCTCATCTCCACCGTTCATCTTTAATTCACTTCCTCTTCTTAGCTGTGTAAGATTAATTAGTTTTCATAAACTTACTATTACGTTTGATTTGCAGACCATCGCCGTGATTCAAGCCGGCCATGGCCTGCTGCAGCTGGGCTCCTGCAAGATCGTAAGTGCAGCACACCCTCGCAAATTTCAAACCTTTTGCCCTTTACTACATGCATCATTTTGTCGTTTTGGCCGTCAAGCAAGCACGCCGACGTTGACGTGCCAGCCAACGCTCGCTAAGCGATTGTGTGCCACTGTGCGCGCGCATGCAGATACCGGAGGACCTGCACTTCGTGCTGCGGATGCGACACATGTTCGAGTCACTGGGCTACCAGTCGGGCTTCTTCCTGTCGCAGCTCTTCTCCTCCTCCCGGGGCGCCTCCTCCGCGCCCTCCTTCCCGCTCAAGCAGCCGCCGCCGGCGCGCCCGCCCCCGCAGCTCTTCAACTGGCCGGGCCAGCCGCAGCTCCCCCACGCCGCCGCGTCGCCCCTCTTCCCGCCGGGGCCGGCCGCGTTCCACCCGTCCGCGCGCTCGTCCATGCCGCATTACCCGGGCGGCAAGGACGAGAGCCACATGTACCACCTCGCGCCGTCGCAGCATGGCAAGCCGCCGCACATGGACGAACACCAGCACCAGCACCAGCAGCAGATGGGGCCCGGGGAGGCGCCCGACGGCGACCTCAAGTGGCCCAACGGGCTGTCATTCTTCACCGCGCTCACCGGGCGCTCAGATGACTCGAAGCTTTTGTACGGCGGCCCCGGCGGAGGAGGAGGCGGCGCAGACGACGGGAAGCCAGCGCAGGACGCGCAGACAGGGCACGGCGGCGCGGAGAACGTGGAGGAGTACCTGAGCCTGGAGAGCCACTCGAACAAGGCGAGGAGGATGGAGAGCACCCAGAGCGCCAAGTTCAAGAGGAGCTTCACGTTGCCGGCGAGGATGAGCTCGTCCAACTCGCCGTCCCCGTCGGTGTCAGCCTCGACGGGGCCGGCGCCGTCGCAGCAGCAGCAGCAGCAGCAAGGGATGGAGTACCGAGCGCAGCACGAGGGCAGCGTCTACTCAGACCTCATGGAGACGTTCTTGGAGTAGCAACGCATGCATGCGTCGACGGTCGATCGATCATCCTTACGACGACAAGCGTACGGACTCTATGTTTTCTTGTTCCCACTTTTTGTTTTGTTCCAACCAAGCTGTGTTCAAGCTCTTTTAGCGCCAGGTTTTGGAGTCTGCTTCGGCTTAATTAGATCATGTAAACTTTCTTTTTTCACATTCTAGCTTCGTACGTGTCTCGATCGATCTAGTCGTAGTAGCTAGCTAGCTCGTAGTGCAAGAACTGATGCATGCATGCATGCAGAGATGGGCATGAGTTTGCTTCCATGATGGCTGGCAAGCTATATGGTGCAATGATGGTGATGTACAATGATATGCAACACCCAATAATACGCTCTCTTTTCCTTCCGAAAGCCCGCTTGCTGCACTGTTGCCTACTTATGGCGCGCGCAGGCCGCCTTTTGTTGAAATTAGACTGTTTTCTGGTCGTGCCTGCTAGTGTACATATTGCATGCACAGTAGGAGTACAACAATCTCATTCACCAGGTAGTCCTCTGAAACTCAACCGTGCTGGATTATTTCAGTTCTTTTGCGTGATGCATGGCATTCCATCCTTGCTTTGCTTGCTTGCTGAAATGTCGTTCCTGCATTTGTGCTGCACGTCGTGATACGTACGCTGCTACTGCCAGTGCGTGCCGACGATGTACTTGTACGATTACACGCTTGGCATCGGGGACCAGGGCGACGTACGACGTGCTACCTTCATGAGACGTCGCGTTCCACGAAATGATTAGGAAGAGGTTGGAGTTCGCAAGGAACTGGACAGGTAGTTTCTGAAAGGACAGGAGAAAGGGAGGAAAGGAGCTGGGACGCATGCTCTGCACGCGCCACGCGACACGGCCTCACAGAGTGAGAGTGGGAGTGAGAGTGCAAGCTATAGACTATAGTACTTGATAGCCTCGTCTGCGTATGTTTGGCAGGCATCGCCTGCGAGCAGCTTTTCGGTTTCACGAGGGAAGAAGCAAAAAAATGAGCGCCAGATGTACACGAACCTCCCCCGCGTGTGCATGTCCAAAACCAACTTGTAAATTTCTTTGGCGAATAGAATTAGCTCTGTCGCGGACTGAGCATAGTTCAGATGGTTTGATTCCCTTGTGTGGTAGACTTAGGCCACTAGGATTTAAGTCCTAGATTTTGTACCCGTGCTCGTATTTTTATGGATTTATTTCACTCTTTCCGGCAATGTTCGTTTTAGGAAGGACACATTTTCATTGACTATGAGGAGTCTATGATGACTTTTTTCGCCAATCTCAAGATGTTGTGCCAGTATCTTAGAGGTACTCATAGGAGTAAAGTGTGTGTGTGCAATCATATGAGTGACTGTATGAGAGCATATGCGATTGTACCGTTTAAAACATATTAGCTCTGTCCGTATTTAACTTTCAACCATTTGGTTTTCATATTGCCCCATAACACTAGGATGGTCTTCTTCCACCTTGATTTGCTGCTGAGCGGCATCCCGATAAGAATCTCCTTTAAAGATTGTTGGGATTATTACCCACTGGATACTTAGAGTTATTAAAAAAATATACCAAAAGATCATTAATTGTAGAAAATAGATGAAGAGACAATATTTATTAACGAGGTTTACCATCATATCTACATCCCTAAGCCATGCTTACATGAACTTCTCAAATAAAGAAGCATGCACAGGTCAATGACAAATCCGCCGAGGCCATCAGAGGCATCTCGACCATTGCGTCACGATAGGTCCAGAGACCCCTGCTATGGACACGTAGACCGTCACTTTCTTGATCTCTGTGTAGCTATCAACTTCGTCTATTCTCACGTGGTTCCTTTATATAACCGTATCAGATTACTCAAGCAGTCATACCCTATGTGTACTCCAAGTCTAACAGTATCCCTATACACATATTCAACTCATTTTTTTTTACAAGTGTTACCTCGCCAAGCTTGTTGTCAACCTCAAGAGCTCTCCTTCATCCTTCTCCATTCGCTTCACTACCGCTGACTTCTCCATGTCCTTGTTCCTTGATGTTTTTGAAATTATCGAAGACCAAAACAACACCAGTTTTGAATAGTCGTATGAGCATCTCTTGTCACAACAGACGAGAACCTAATATCGCAAGGCAAGATATCGAACCACTGCTTCATCACTATATTATCCACAAAAAGGACGAAGAGCACAAAGGAGTGAAGACAACCACAAATTGGCGTCACCGCCACATATGCGGCTGTCAAGTTAGGCTAAAGTGTCTGATGGAAATTCACCGTACTGATACAGGGGATCAATACACCAAGCATCGGCTATGTCAGCCATGACAAGCATGCCGTCATGACATGTGTAATGTGAGGTCTAATTTCAAAGCTCTCGTCAACGGGAACAAAATGGTGCAAATGGTTTTGTAATTTGGATGCATGGTTCACAAGGTATTTTTGTTTAAAGAAATGGATCTCACAAAAAATACAACCCTTTCCTTACATCTCAAACTAGTGAAGAACCCATCAAAACTTTTGTGATGGCAATAAGTGATACACATGCACCATGCCAGTTATCACCACAAGAGAAATTTGGACGTAAGCCTTTAACGTTTTTTAGGAGTAGTACTCCTTTAATAACTTGTTTCTAAAGCACATGACACATGTGGTAAGCAATCTAAACAATTCAAAAATAAATAAATAAAACTTGTTTTTAAGAGGGGCCCTTTGATGACTATATTTTTTTGCACATTTAATAACTAGTGAATATATTTATTTTTGAGAAGAAATAACTTTTTTTGAGGGGATTGAGAAGAAATAACTAGTTTTCTTTTAAGCTAAGAAGAAATAACTAGTTTTCTTTTAAGCTAAGAAGAAATAACTAGTGATTTTATTGCCAAGTTGTTTGGACCGAGACCCGAATGCCATTTTAGGCCCAGACAGCCCAGATCTTCTTATTCAGAACTACATTAAGCCGGCCCGCTAACTACAGTCCTGCTGCTCGGGGCCCGCCAGAAAATCAACACCGCGCGTCATGTCCCAAACCGTGCGGCCGCGAGGCGAGATGCCCCGACCCGAAAGAGATAAGCCGCCACCGCCGCTGGCCGGAGCCAAATGGCGCTGCTATCGCCACCCTCCGCCCCGCCCCTGCTCACGCCAGCTCGCCACCGCCTCGCCTCTCCCCATCTCCTCGCCATCCCGGCGTCACCGAGCTCTCTCCTCTCCCTCCCCCACCACCACCACAGCCTCCTCCTCCCCTGCGCTGCCAACGCCTGGCCGTCCCGTCGGCACCGTCGCCGCGGCGGCATAGCCGCGTCGCTCGGGCAGGAAGAACCTGGAGTCTCCGACGCCCCCATCACCTCCGAAGGGGAGTTCGGAGAGGGCGACTCCGAGCTGCCGATCAACTTCGATGCAGAGGCAGGCGCGGTCGCGGTTTCCGCCGAGCCGCCGGCGGACGCCAGCCTCGAGGACTTGGAGAACATACGCGAGATCAAAAGGGTCCGTCCGGCGTGTCTAGCCTCTTCTTTTTCTCCTGGGTTGCATTATCGGGATGAGTTCTTATTTACTTGGTATGTTGGTTGGATGTGATGTTAGGTGCTGGAGCTTCTTCAGAAGAACAGGGACATGACCTTCGGCGAGGTATGCATTTTTCTCCGTTTCTTAATTTTCTGTGGATACTGGTAGTGGAACTAAATGCGTCGATTGTTTCCTCTCAGTAGAAAAGCTACATTTTGTTTCAAGGGGTGTCCACTAGGCTTGGAGTTTGCATGCTGTTTTTGAGATCGCAGCTCTCGTTGGTCGTTGCTGAACCTTGGGAGTTTGCACGTTCGTATTTACCGACGAGAACTTAAGAGTATTATGTTTTGTTTGATGTTGCATCGCAGGTTAAGTTGACTATCATGATTGAGGACCCTAGAGATGTAGAAAGGAAGAGATTGCTAGGCATAGAGGATCCTGACGAACTTACCAGGGATGATTTAGCTGATGCTTTGGTTGAGGTAAATTACTCTTCCCTGGGATGTGCACCTCGCAGAAGTGTAAAATTTAACATTATTTTTTTCTTCTTTTTTGAATTTTTGCTCGCTGACCAACATTTCGTCCATCTGTAATGACCCGACAGATATTCATATATTTTGTTGTCTAGCTATGCTACATTTAAAATGCCACCTAAAAATGTTATGCTACCTCATGACTGCTATTGATTTAATATTCAAATGATAGTGCACAACTGTAGGCCTAGGCATGCCCTTTCCAGTTGCAACATAAGAAATTGTGTTCCCTAGTAAATATCTTATGTTTATTCCACTCTCTACCTGCTATGATACTATGATTAGTTATTTGCAACCAAATGCCCTGTCTCTTTGACCATATTTACAATTTGATACTTATCCCCTTATTAATTCTTATTTGGGAATTACTAACTTTCAAAAGTTGATAATTCATGTCTAATTTATATTGTGCATGGATCCACAAGTAAGCTGCTTGATAAATACTGGCATATGGTTTCTGTTCTCACCCTTAAAATTCAGACATGGCAATATAACATCTTTCTGGACGTTGAACAGCTTGTTATAATAGTTCTTTATGATGGGTCTCAACAAGAGGCCTCATTAGTAAAAGTTCTAATCTAACAGTGTCGGCATGCATAATTAACACTGTTAATGTTGCGAACCTTGATTCGCAACAGGATAACTACCGTTTTGAAGATACCCGATGACAAGGCTAGGGGGATTGGCTAGACATAGGTTGAGATGAGAGAATAACTTGACTGTTCTTTGTCTCCATACATAGATACATGAAACCCTTTTATAGTGAATGTCTTGGACCTTACCTCTTTCAATATGATTATTCTTATTTGACCTTTCCTTGTACAATTGAACTCTTTCCTAATCCTATTTTTTTGCTAAATAACTCCTTTTTTCTGTTTACTTTCTGCCGCATGTCCTTGACAAACACATGACCATCTCCTTCTGCGATATGATCACCCTGATCTTCTTGCTGATCAGCCGCAACCAAATTGCCACTGCCTTGATGCAACACACTAATGTAAACAACACTACACCCATCCCAGACAAGTGGCTTGTCCTCAAGGTTGCGGCTACTGGCACGTTCTTGCTATTGTTCTGTACTTCTTGGATTGCCTGTATGAACCTGGGTGATGCTCACTGTTGAAACGTTGGTGGTTTCATCAGGTGCGTCAAGTAAAAGCATATCTGCAAATTAGAGTTTTGCGTGAATTGCCTTGCTGGTAGTGCCTTCTGCTGTACCATAGCTACTGCTTTTATCACTTCCATCCTGCTGCGCACATCGAAGTAAACTCATGGCACTTAAAAGATTGAGGTATGCTAGGCAAATAAATTGAGCAAGAAATCCGCACGACTGGTCTTGTATTGCAGTTTAACACATAACCTTTTCTTACAGCTCCTGTATATAGCTTTGTGTTCATATAGAAGTTGAATTCTCCCTCCTATGTTTGGACTCCTTGTATGCAACTTAACCTTTCCAATTCAGTCTCCCCGATGCAGACCGGTTGCAAGTAAACAAGCCAAACAACAACAGGGAAATAGCACAATCCGGTTAACTTTTTGTTGATGGCCTTTTGTTTTTCCAATCAGACTTGAGAACCGACTCAACTTCTCTACTTTCATCTGTGCACTGTGAGCCAAACTCTTTGTGGCCCAATCCATCTCCTTGCTCCCATGCAAATCCATGCTGAAGTACACCTGCTGATATGCCACTGGCTGGTCTATGCTCACAATCTTATGCATTGGTATCAGCACGATCAGATTCATGGGGAAAATTGTCCTGCTCTATACCAACTGTTTGTTTGACTGTTCTCAGCTGCGTGACCACCGCTGCCCCCAGTTTCATGCATGCACTGAAACCTGCGCAGGCAGTTTCATCTTTATTCTGGACATGGACCATGGTTTTCGAGTCGCGTGACTAGTCGTCGACTAGTTGATGAGTCACAAAAAAATGTTGACTCAACTTAGTGTTGACTCATGACTCGAGTCGCGACTAGTCGCAACTGCAGGCTCGACTTTTTCCGAGTCGCTACCCCAGAACGACTCATTGACTCGAAAACCATGACATGGACTTGATGGATCCTAGTTGTGCCACATGGAACTTCATCTCCTAACTCATTTGAACATGTTATCCTTCTCCAAGACATGCGTGTGGACCATGACTTTGGGACAATGACATGCGTGCAAGTTGCAACACATGCACATCTGGTTGAATGTTCTCCTGCTGCTGGGGGGGACTGAATATCATGGCCATCATGGGTCAAATAGTCTGCTTTACCTCTGTGCTCATCGCTGCAGCTTGCTCTTTAAGTGACACAGCGTGCTCTTTAAGTGATGGCACTTACAACTCCTCCAGTACCGATGGCAGGGGAGGCGTCTGCACAACAGCTGCTTCTTGTTGAGCGGTTGCTGCTACTGCTTGTGGTGTTGCCCCTGCCAACTTTGTTACACCTAATGTGCTCAACGACACAGAGTAACTTCATACCAAGTTGACAGCAGCCATGACAAATGTTGTAACCTTGTAGAGTAAGCTCGTGTTGCGTCGTGCTATAAACCATATTTGACGAAGGCCATGATTGGCGACTTTCCTTGATCAATGGTTTGTACTCTTCCATAAGGAGCAGAGACTCGATGAAGCACAGTTATCATGATAGGGTAGGGAATATGATGAATCATGACACTGTGTATCCTTTGTGACATTTTCTTGGCAGCAAAATCAAAACCCATGGTAGATGGCTCTGATATCAAATGCCGCGAACCTTGATTCACAACGGATAACTGCCGTGCTGAAGATAGCCAGCCGGCATGACTACGAGGGATTGGGTTAGACATGGGTTGAGATGAGAGAATAACTCGAGTCTCCCAAACATATATACATGACATCCTTATATAATGGATGCCTAGGACCTTGATATCTCTTAATACGATTAGACTTATTAGACCTTTCCTTATACAATTAACATCGTCCAAATCCTATACTTACATAAAGGACTCTCCTCCTTTCTGTTTACTTGCTACCACAAAACCTTGGCAAACACATGACCATCTGCTGCTGCAATACAACCACGCTGATTTTCTAGCTGACCCGACAGCGGCAACCCAATTGCCACTTGTCAAGGGCCTCGGTGCCCAAGACAGCGGTGATTGCCGTCTTGAGGGTGGTAAAAGCTGCTGCCGCCTCCGGCGACCAAGAGAAACCATCCTTGCGAAGGAGGGCCGTCAGGGGCGCGGCAACCATGCCAAAGTCCTTGACAAACTTGCGGTAGTACCCCGCAAGGCCGAGAAAGCCCCGAACCGCGCGCGCCGAGCGTGGTTGCGGCCAGTCCGCCACCGCCTGCACCTTTTCCGGATCCATGGCCACGCCTGCAGCGGAGATGGTGTGACCCAGGTATGCGATTGATTCAACGGCGAACGCGCATTTGGAGCGCTTGACGAAGAGCTGGTGCTGGTGCAGGACCGTGAAGACGGTGCGCACATGTCGGAGATGGTCAGCCCATGTCTCGCTGAAAATGAGGATGTCGTCAAAGAAGACGAGAACAAAACGGCGCACGTATGGCCGCAGCAGATCATTCATGAGGGCCTGGAACGTGGCCGGCGCGTTGCAGAGTCCGAACGGCATCACCAGAAACTCGTAGAGGCCGTCATGAGTACGGAAAGCTGTCTTCGGGATGTCCTCCGCACGCATCCGCACCTGGTGGTAGCCGGAACGTAAATCGAGCTTGGTGAAGAAACGAGCGTGCCATAGCTCGTCGAGGAGTTCGTCCACCACCGGAATCGGGAACGCATTCTTGACAGTAATGGCGTTCAGGGCGCGATAATCGATGCAGAAGCGCCAGGACCCGTCGGCCTTGCGGACCAGCAGTACCGGGGACGAGAAGGCGGAACAACTCGCACGGATGATACCTTGGGCGAGCATGGCGGCGCACTGACGCTCCAGCTCGTCCTTGTGCGCGGCCGGGTATCGATACGGACGGACGGCCACCGGGGCGGAACCAGGTAGCAGGGTGATGCCGTGATCGCGGCTGCGGGGCGGTGGCACGCCGGAGGGGTCGGCGAAGATGCCGTCGAACTCGGTGATGATGGCGTCCAGGAAGTCGCGGCCGCTGCATGATTTTAGGGCTGGCCCGTCCGGTCCTGCAATGCCGTGCCAGCACACCCGATGGCCCTGCCGCCAGAATGTCATGGAGAGGGCTCGGAAATCCCACAGGATCGGTCCGAGCGACGCCAGCCACTGCGTGCCCAGGACGATGTCGTAGCCCGCGAGCGGCAAGGCGAGGAAATCCTCCGCGAACTCCTCGTGGCCGATGCGGAAGGGCACGACGCGGTACGCGCCCTGGCACGGAACGCGCTCGCCGTTGGCCACGGTGACGCGCATCTTCTCTGTGGTGGGGGGCGGTAACGTAGCACGAGCGGTCGCCTCTTCGGCGATGAAGTTGTGGGTGGAGCCTGAATCGATCAGGGCGAGGAGGGAGACACCTCCGAGAGTAATCTGCATCTGCATGGTTTCACTTGTGCGCACGCCGGCGATCGCGTGGAGCGAGATTTGAGGGTCGGCCCGCGATGCATCATCAGTGGCGGAGGCCGCGTCGTCGTCGTCGTCGTCGTCCGGCGCTAAGTCGAGGAGAAAGATGCGCTGGCACACGCGGTTGTGGCCCCTGCCAAACTTCTCGTTACAGTTGAAGCAAAGGCCCAGGCGACGGCGTTCCTCCATCTCTGTCTGGGAGAGACGCTTGATTGGGCGTCCGTCCGGCAGATTGTGGCCCTGCTGAGGTGCGGCTGGTGGGGCCGGAGCGGGGGGCGCGAGGCGTGGTCCTGGTGTCGGCAGGATGCCCTTCTGTGGAAAACGCACCGGTGGCGCGGCGGAAAGCGCGCACTGGTCGCGCAGCTCCAATTTGCTGGCGAGGCTCATGGCGACGGCGAGGGACTGTGGGTTATGGATCTCCACGTCGAGGCTGAGGGGTGGCTGGAGTCCCGCGGTGAAGATCTGCACTTTCTGTGTCTCGGATAAGGTGCCTGCCCGGGGAAGGAGTGCCTCAAACCGCTCCTGGAAGTCGACGACGGACGTCGTGCGTTTGCACGCCATTAGTTCGCCCAGCGGGTTAGCGCGCAGCGGTGGCCCGAAGCGGAGATTGAGCAGCTCGGAGAAGCGGCGCCACGGAGGTGTGCCCTCGTCGCGCTGGACCTGCATATACCATAGTTGGGCAGGACCCTCGAGATTGTAGGACGCCATCCACACCTTCTCCTCCTCGGCGATCCGTTGTTGATGGAAGAAGGACTCGCATATGTTGATGAAGGCGAGCGGATCAGACTTGCCGTCGAACTTGGGGAAGTCCATCTTCTGGAACCTGGGCGGCCGATCATTGTGGTGCTGCCCATCATGGGCGGCGGCTGCGCTGGACGAAGAGGAGGACTTGTCCTTCTGGAGTGCGGTGACGGACGACTGCAGGGACATCACCGTGGCCGTCAAGGCCTCGATCATCTTAGCCAGATCCGCGGTGGTCGGTTCTGCCATGCCGGAAGTGACCGAGGCGGCAGCGGATTGTGGCGATGTCGGGGAGCTGGGCGCGGACACAGGGGGGAAAGCGGCCGGCGGATGGAGCGTGGACGAGGAGGAGGATCGCCTGGAACCTGATACCAAGTTGTCAAGGGCCTCGGTGCCCAAGACAGCAGGACCTCGACTACGTAGTTCGTAGTCGCGGTGGATAGGAGCGCTAGGGTTTTTGCCTGGCTGCTCTATGATGCGGGAGGGGAAGATAGAAGGAAATAACTTTATTGCTTATCTCTAAAGGGTGCTAACTATCTGATATATAAAGGCCCCATGGGCTAATAACAAACTAGAAACCTATACGAAATAAACTAGTCTAGGAACTAATGTGCCCGGATCAGGACTCCTGTCCAGCCTGCGCCTTGCCTGATGCGGCCGTCGGCTGCTCCTGGCCGCGCGGCCCACGTCTGTAAGACGTGCCCCACATGACACCACTGCCTTGATGTAATGTACTAACATCCACAACCGATAACCAGCTACCTTCATAACGCATTTTTTTTCTTTCAAAAGGAGGATTTCCCCCGGCCTCTGCATCACATGGTGCACACAGCCATTTTATTAGTCAAAGATCCGAGTACCGAACAAAGTCTCAAATAATCCTGGAACAACGCTTAAAAAAAGCTACCACAACCGGCAAAAATAGGGTAAGATGACTAAACACCTATCCTATTGTTGGACCGCCATCCAATTTGGTTGTAAGTATCCCATGCGACCGTCTCCCAGTGGTTGCACCTAATATCCATAAGCTCCCTGTGGTCTGCATGGCTAAGTAACGACCACATACAGATCCAAGCAGACACCCTGAATTTGACCTGCAAAAAATTTGTGACTGTTTGTCTGTTATAATGGCGACATCATTTCGACAGTTCCATATGACCCAAAGTAATTCACACACTCCTACTCGAATATGTGCACCTATCTTAGGCTCTACCCCATTTAACCATGTCCCAAATAGGCTAGATAGAGTGCTGGGATGAGAAACATTAAAGGATGCATGGACGGTATGGCATAATAACTTGGCTAGTGGGCATTTGAGAAAAAGATGTTGTATTGATTCGTCATGGTCACAAAAACAACACCATTTACTTCCCTCCCAACTACGCTTTGCCAGGTTATCCTTCGTCAAAAGTACCCCTTATGCACGAACCACATAAAGACCTTTATTTTTAACGGCACCTTGACTTTCCAGATATGAAGTGACCTTGGGATAGGACCGGTGTTTATCAAGTCTGTATACATGGACTTAACCGAGAATACACCTGTCATGGATAACCTCCAATGCAAGGTGTCTGGCGCATCAGAGAAGTTAATCTCCATCAACCTGCGCACGAGATGCAACCATCTATCCCATCGACCCCCCACCAGCACTCGCCTGAACTGAATATTGAGCGGAACGGAACTTAACACTGTACTAATGAATACTTCTTTCCGTTGTACAATGTTATACAGAGAGGGATACTGTAAGCCTAGTGGCGTGTCTCCCAGCCAAGTGTCTTCCCAAAATCTAGTACTATTTCCATTCCCAACTATGAAGTTACTCCTGTTAAAGGAAGCTGCATTTGTCCTCATTAGCCTCTTCCAAAATGGAGAATCAGTCGGCTTTGCCGTGACTTGTGCCAAAGTTGAATATGAATATGAATTGCATTTTAATGCCATCTAAGATGAAGGATAACGTTTATATTACCCTGCAAATAGATCAGACAGTGATATGCCTTGCCTGCTTATATATAGGTTAATGAAGGACGAATTCCAGAGAATCGTGATACTCTTAGGTTGCTTGCCAAGGAGATGGCAGAATGGCCCGATGTTGATGTAAAGGTAATACTGATAATACAATTTCTACTTCCTAGCAATGGTTACCACAATTTTTTTCCTGTGATTACGATGGCTGTAGTTTTTGTGTATTAAAATCCTCGTTGATTTGACCGATAGCACTTGTTTTATTCAGTTTATTAGTTATGTAGTTTGGTCGGCTTTCACTGTTTTCTGAGTATTACGGGGCCAGTTCCACAGTTATGCTTTTTACTTATTTTGCATGTATTTCTGTACAAAATCTGAACAGAACCGTGTTTAACCTGACTTTCATTTTAATTATGTGTGCAGATAGAAAGTCAAAAGGGCAAGGGCTTCTTTGGCAGATCTGTCTATGCAAAGGCCACAGATACTGGCATTGATCCTGTGGCAGCTGCTAAAAGACTTAACATCGACTGGGATTCTGCTGCTGATATAGATGAAGGAGAGGATGAGGATGAAGAAGATGAAGTTCCTTCAGCAGTGGTAAGATGTTGTCTTCAACATATTCCATAAATTTGTTGTGGATGTAAAACAGTTGAACACATTTCATTTAATTGTGTATGGCTTGATTTTGCTTTATCATCACCTTCAGCCATATATAATTTTATTCTTCTCTGCAGGGATATGGTGCTCTGTATCTGTTGACAGCTTTTCCTGTCATTATTGGAATATCAGTTGTGCTGATCCTTTTCTACAACTCTCTACAGTAGCATCTGCTCACCTTTGTTTCTGGAGAAGATGCCGCCTTTTTCTTGTAAAGCCGAGTTACAACGCTGCTGAATGAGCACCCCTTTCTTCGTCTCATAGTAAAATAGTTTCTGCAATGGTATGACAACATTGTAAAGCCCTGAGGTTGTACACTACACGAAAAAGGAAAAGGTCTTGAAGTATTGGCTTTTTCTAGGAAACTGAAAGTTGATTATTCTGCGGTTTTCTTTACGTTCCAGTCTCTGTGCCATATCTCCCTGTGAAGCCACAAGGGCTGCAAGCCACCCATTGCTCAACATTTCTGTGGGTTTGTATGGCGGCTCTCTCGCTTACCTGTTTCTTATGCTTACTTCTGGTCTACTATTGGTTTCTGGCGTCCATGAGACCGTAATGTAAGTACGTTAAACTGCTAGGGTATGCTGTACATGTAGATATGCTCTCCTTTAAATAAATGTATATGTTGTGATTTTCTATGGTGAAAAGGCTGCACCGGCAAAGCTTTTCTTGAAGAGCGTATTTGAATCCTGGAAACTTTCTTCTCGCAGAAATACACCATTTTTTGTCAATTTTGATAATAAGTATTTTCAGACGGAGGGAGTAGATGATTTCTACTCACTTTACCGGAGCAGTTAACAGTATCTACTGACATTTTTAAGATCGACAATTGTATTTTCCAAATATTCGTATCTTGGGAATAGATCCGAACGGAACTCCCGTGATTTTCTCCCTCGCTAAATAGATCAGTAACTGCCTTTTTTCCGCTCCAAACAAACCCTCCGCTGTTAGTCCCGCGATTTTCTCCCTTTTAGCATCATTACCGAATGAATCCCGCGTCGTTCGTTCCGTTTCTCTGTAAGGCGTGCAGAAAAGTTGAAGCACGAGGGATTCGAGCACGTGACCTGCTGCTTGAGTGATCCAGGAGACAACCACTTGAGCTAGTTTAATCTGGGGATTAGTAAATCGATAGTAGGTAACTTTTTTAATGTGAGTAGGGAAAAACAAATGATAATGGCCAATCCGTCGAACGTTTGGCCCGACAACCAAGCAACTTAGCCTTATTGATTGATGTCTGATAATACACTTTGAACTCAGAAAAATGACATAAACTTTTGACCCGGATGCAAAAAATTGTTAAAAACTCTTAACCCACATGCGGCATGCCCATGTCCAGATCGGGATTTATTTTTCATGTGTTGATAAAAAAAAAGGTAATCATCTAAAGTGGGACTTGAATCCACAGTCCCTGCGATGTAGCAGCAGTGTACCAACCAACTAACCTTTCATATGAGCCAAAAAAGCATTTTTCTTCTTGTGTCTTTTTGATTTCTCAAGTTGTCTTGTAGTATTCCATATACCAACAGGTTGTATATTTTGCCCATGTAGCCGCCTTGTAAATATCATGGCACTTCACATGAGAGATTTGTTGGGTTGAAACATACCCCGATAACTTTTGTGCAAATGGCATGGTAATTTGTGCACTGGGACCCGATAACTTACGTATAAATATCATGGTAACTTCCACCGGGGTGAAAAAATAATTGAAACATCTCCTCGGTAATTTATGTGTAAACAACACGGTAATTTTTGCATGGCAACCCTGATAACTTAGGCACAAACACCACTGCAACTTTGACCTGAAAAAGTTGTAAAAAATGTACCCCGATAATTTTTGTATAAACATCATGGTAATAACGCATCATATACATGATAATTTAGATACAAACACCATGATAACTTGGACCCCGAGGAATTTTTTTTGAAAAATATAACCTCGATAATGTTTGCGTGAATATCATGGTAATAGAAGCACTGCATA